ATAATTGGCAAATTCCTTATGATTATTTCTCATTTATATGAAGTGCTGAGGATTGTTAATCAACTAAAGAACCAGGGCCAATTTCACAAAATGAGGGAATATATATGTTTATACAAACACGAAATGAGGTTGGTCTATTTCAAATGCAGTATCTGCTCACAGGAGCTTTGAAAGCACAAAACCCGAGGTATAAGGGTAAAAGTTTCCCAAGTGCTTTCTTATACTATTGACAACAGAGGGCAGTTACCTCATCATTAAGACAGTTTTATTCGGTTTTTATTTAGGGACTACCCCAAACATCTACAACAGTGCTGAAAAATAGATGCTCAGTAAGTATTTTGTTAGTGTTCAATGAATTGGTCACGAACACCCAGAGAAAGCCAAAGGAGGCTTTTATCATCACAAGATACACAGGCAGTCCCTTTAAAGAAAGATCTTTGAAAAAAATCAAGCAGGTTCCACAGCCATAAAATAAATGCAATATACAAAAAACTGAATAGATAAAACCCAATATAATGGAACAAAGTCTCTGATATCAAGGGATGTGCACTGTAATTTCAACTCCTATGCCTACCATCTCTTTTCCTCTGCTTTCTTTTTCTGTTCACAGCATGAAACCAGATCTCAAAGGTTGAAAAATTTGACATCTGTCTCTCGAGGCATATTAATTTCTTAACTGTAGTCGTTTTTGACTTGGGTGGGTTATCCATCACAGAAAGCCTTACAAGCATGAGGAGGGCAGATGATTTAATGATCTCTCACTAGCTTGTAAACCTGACTATGAATTCAGAGAGAGAAATTTGAAGAGGGTAGAAATTTGGCTGAGGTAACTGCTGTGTATCAGTCAGATGATGATGTTCAAATCAAAAAGAGGCAGAAAACAGTGAAAGATGCGATGAAGGTGTGGAGTAGAATGGATGGGCAGCTTTCAAGGCCCATTCCAGGCAAGATGTAACATTTTTGTTTCTCACACACAAACACACACACACACACATACACACATACACTCTCACATGGAATTGTATTTATTACAAACTTTACACGGAATAACTGGTAGAGATAATACTAAAAATGCTCTTACCACCTACTGGTTTCAATCAATATGAAAATCTGACTTTTGGATCCTTACACCTGTATTGTAAATAATTCATATAAAATTTACACGTTCAAATATAGCCTGGATTTTTAATTTTATATATGTTACTTTTATAACCAATCTTTAAAAACTTTTGTACATTTGTTATAGTACAACTTAGCATCCCTGAAACTAACACATTCTATTCATTCAAAGTTAAATATTTATTCATCTATTTATCTCTCCTCTGTGTTTAGGTAGACTACTATTGGCCTCTTTTAACACATGCATCTATGTGATTTATATTATGAAATTTCTGTCTTTATTTGCCTCAAAATTTTATTTTCTTCACAACCTTTATTAAACAAATACTTCATTATTTTATTTTATCGGACTTGTTATATATTTACGTATAAATTTAGATCTTTCTGGAATATCAATTCAACATCAATTGTATAATTTCTTCCTAAAATTTTTCTTCTGTGTTATTTGTGCTCTGAAAATCATGCAATTTTATTGTTTAAACCATCTGAATGGAAATTTTCTTTTATTTTTGGCCACACCTTTTTTTTGGTTTTTGATTTAAAAAAATTGCAATTTTTGAAGTAGATATCTGAAAAGATACTTCTGAGTCTAAATCCTGGGAAAGGTTTGATGCGCTCATTCCTTGCCTTTTTTTTTTTCAATCATGACTTTTTAAAATTATTTCACTGAGGTGAAATCCATAAGTATAAAATTAACCATTTTAACGTGTACAATTCAGTGGCATTTATTCATTCACAAGCCTCTGCCAAACACCACTTCTCTCTAGTTTCAAACTTTTTCATCACCCTAGAAGAACATCCTATTCTTATTAAGTAATGACTCCCCATTTCCCCTGCCTCCATCTACTAGCAACCACTAAACTGTTGTCTGTCTCTATGGATCTGCCTGTTCTGGATAATTCTTACCAAAGGAATCATACAATATGTGACCTTTTGTGTCCACTTTCTTTCACTTAACATGATGTTTTTGAAGTTCATCCACATTGTGGCATGCTATTAGTACTTATCGCTTTTATGGGTGAATAATATCCTATTGTAAATATAAAGCACATTGTGGTTATCCATTCATTCCCTGGAGGAAATCTAGATTGTTTCTACTTTTTGAATATTAGGAATAATGCTGCTATAAACATTTGTGTACAAGTTTCCATGTGAACATATATTTTCACTAATCTTGGATATATACCTGAAGGCGGAATTGGTGGGTCACATGGGAATTAATTCTATGTTTAACTTTTCAAGGAACAGCCAAACTGCTGTCCCTGGAGGTTACATCATTTTACATTCCCACCAGAAATATATAAGGGTTTCTATTTCTCCACATCCTCACCAACACTTATTTCTTGTCTTTTGTTTTGTTTTATTTTATTTTTATTATTAGAGCCATCCCAGTGTGTGTGAAATGTATTTTATTGTGGTTTTTATTTGTGTTTCTTTAATGTCCAATGTTGTTTCATATCATTTTACATGCTTGTATTCCATTTGTATACTTTCTTTAGGAAAAAAAGTCTATTCAAGTTCTTTGCCCCTTTTTTAAATCTAGCTTTTGGTTTTTTTGTTTCTGAGTTTTAAGAATTCTTTATTTAGTCAGGATATTAAATCCTGATCAGATATACAATTTGCAAATATTTTCTCCCATATGTGGGTTGTCTTTTCACATTTTTGATAATGTTCCTTGAGGCACTACAGTTTTCAATTTTAATGAAGTCCAATTTATTTATTTTTTCATTGTTACTCATGCTTTTGGTGTCAAATCTAAGAATCCATTGCTAGATCTAAGATGGTATTTATCATATGTTTTCTCCTAACAGCTTTACAGTTTTAGATTTTATATTAAAGTTTTGTATCCGTTTGTGTTCATTGCTATATCTGGAGTGAGGTAGAAGTCCAACTTAATTCCTTTGAATGTGGTGATCATCAAGCTGCTGGTATCCTTGCTGAAAATCCCATAAAATGTTAACACATTTGATGAAAATCAATTCATCATGAATGTTTGATTTTGTTTCTATCCTGATTTTATTCTATTGATCTATATGCCTATCCTTATCACACTACCACATTGATTAATGTAGTAAGTAATATACTACGTTTTGAAACTGGGAAGTGTGAAGTCACCAACTTTGTCTTTCTTCATCAATATTGTTTTGACAATTCGGAGCCTCTTATAATTCCATATAAATCTGAGGGTTGGCTTTTTCCATTTCTGCCAAAAAAGGCCACTGGACTTTTGACAGGTACCGAATTGAATCTATAGATCTCTTCGGGGATTATTCCCATTTTAATAGTACTGTTTTCTAATCCATGAACATGGGATGTCTTTCCCATTTAATTAGGTATTTAACTAGCTATTCTTTAATTTCTCTCGGCAAAATTTGGTAGTTTTCAGTGGAAATGTTATATAGCATGTATTACATGGCAGGCATTGTTATAAAAGTTTTACATATTTATGCCTTCAGAATACTAAAATGGGTTGCTATAGCCTATAAGATAAAGGTACATTGTGTTAGCATGGCTTACAAGGCCTTCTCATCTAGGCCTCAAACTACGATTCTGTCTAATGTATCTACACTGACACTGAAACAGCTCATTGTCACTGAACACACGAAGTGCTCTCAACCCTTGATGTTATTGCACAATCGACTCTTTAGGCTAGTATTTTTACCCCATCTCATCTGTCTGAGAAACTCCCACTCATCCTTCAAGCCTTAGCCCAATAACTTTAACTGAAGTTACTCATTTAAAATAAAGCTTTTCAGAGGGGAGTTGGGTGGGGGGAGGGGTGAAATAGGTGAAGGGGATTTAGAGTACGCTTGTCATGACGATCACTGAGTACTGTATAGAATTGTTAAGTCACTATATTGTACCCCTGAAACTAATATAACACTGTATGTTGAATACACTGGAATTAAAATGAAAAAAAAAAACTTAAAAGAAAGAGACTTTGCTCAAATGTTAACTAAGCTACTTAATCAGTTCTCTTGTTATCTTGTTAACAACTTGTATGTACCTCTTGTATAACCCATTAATCTGTGTTGCCATTATCTTTTCTGCCTATTCTGTTGCCCTCCACCATACTTAACTTCTTGAATGTAGGGACTGTATTTTACATGTATTTGAGCTCTAGGGCTTGGTGCAATATCCAACAGACCAGATTCTCAATAAAACTCACCTAAATGGATGAGGGTACCAAACACAAAAAGACAATCTGCTTTGCACAAAATGTGCTCAGCCTAGTTCATTCATCTGAAAAGTAGTCATTCCCCTGCATGGTTTTTTTTTTTTTAAGATTTTATTTATTTATGAGAGAGAGAGAGAGAGCGCATGGGGGGGCGGGGACTGAGGGAGAAGCTGAATCCCGCCCCCTGCATGGTTTGAATCAAGAGAATTAACTTTGTTATTAAACACCCTAGTGGTAGTGAATGAGGGGTGGGTCTCTTTCTCTTCTTCCTTTTCTCTCTCTAACCTAAAATACAAATATCATCTTTGTCCATCTAAAAACAAAACAAAGCAAAAAAAACCATGGAAAGTCTAGAAATATGGTACTTTTATACTCCAACTCAAAACCTCTAAGAATATTCTCCTTATACTAACATGAAGACAAATGATGGAAAGCAAAATGAAAAGAGGAGCAAAACAGAAAGAAGACTGAATGTATTTCCAGAAGATCTGGAGTATTTATATCTCTTATTAATAATGTGGCACTGACTCTGTATTTTGCCTCTCTGAGCCTCAGCTTCCTCATCTATAAGGTGGAGCCAATATGCCCTGCCCCACACACCACAAATTACTGGTGTGAGTATTGAGAGAGAGAATCCTTTTGAAAGTATGCTTGCTACAAAACATAATGTGCTACACAAGAGAGTGTGTAGCTATTCACTCACCGAACACAGTTCTTGCAGGCACAGATTCTCTGTTAAGCCAGAATGACACTTGGGAGAGAATGACAGTCATGATGCAAGGCAGATATGTCTGAATCACAAAATACCCAATTTTTCTTTTCAAGTGGAAATGAGCTGTCATTACGGTATATTCACCTAGAAGAAAAATTTAAGAAGCTTAAGGAACTGTAATAGTCAATAGTTTGAACATTTTAGAAATGGAACAGATTTGAGAAGGAACAGTCCCTGATTTAAAAAAAAAAAAAATTATCACATATACAACATGACAAGTATAAGCCTTTAAATGCCTCTTTAACATAGCAAGAATATTTAAAAGAGAATTTTAATATTACCAAGAAACTTGCACTACATGTCCAAGGCACATTTGTTTTTCTCTCCAGGTCATGCCTACTGACCAAGGAGATACACGATTCGCAATGCTCTCTGACCGTGAATTATCTTACTTGCTCAGGTCTCTCATCCCTACTGGTACCAATTTCAAGTCTCTGCTTTGATTGTTCTAACTCCCTGGCTTTTTAAAGTGTCAGTCTCTGGCCACATCTCTAAGATTGGGTCAGGCTTTTGGCCCAAATCTTCCACTTTTGACCCTGTCACCAATTCTGAATCTCTCAATGTTGTATGTCGACTCTAATTTACTGCCATCATTTCTATCCGATCCTAACAGCTACTTTCCTTTCTGCTATCTGGGGTTACATCTGCCAGAGGTAAAATCATTAGTTCAACATGGCGGCTTTTTCTTAGATGAGTGTGGCCCTTAGAAAGGGCATCAGCTTTCCCACACAGGCCAGTAGTAATGATCCATAAATCAAGAGTTGAATAGTCACAAATTATCCAGAATAGGAGGAAAAGAATTAGAAAACTAGGAAAACTGTGACACTGTTTGAAGATAAAATTGGCTTGTCTGCAAAGTCACACATTTTTGAATTGACAGTATATTTTAGACCAGTGTTTCTCAAACTTTCTGCAAACCTCCTTGGAATCTTGTTAAAATGCATATCTTGACTTAGTAAGGGGTCAGGTCTGACACTGTAAATATCTAAAAAGCTCCTACAATCTATGCTGCTAGTTCTTGGGCCCCAAGAACAAAACTTTTTAAGCAAACTAACATATTTCAGTGACTTCAACCCATCACTTTTCTTAGAAACTAGTTTAAGAATCATTTTACTAACCTGTACTGGATTTAATTGTTTCCTTTCCAATTGATTGGCCCAGCAGATCATACTGATTTAATCTGGAACCATCGGGAGCAACTTGTACTGAATCAGATGCATTGTAAGTCCAAATATAAGTGACCTCTGAGGTTGTATATGCATCTGTAGGAAGTCAGAAAAAAAAAAAAAAAACTCAAGCACTTTAGTAAGAACCATCAATAAACTGCAACATCAAAGGTTATATATTGCATAGGATCACTATTTATTATAAAAATTGATATTTACAGATCATATTTTGTAGAGTAAAAAATATCTTTGAAATCTGCCATTTTCAATATGAAGAGTGTGAAGTGGACCAAGAGAGAAAATCATGACCATAGAGTATTTCCATTGCAACTACTTTGAGAAGTGAACAGAAAATTTCTCTTCGGAGTCTGCAAAAATCACTGGGCCCTGAGATGGTTAAAACGTCCTCCGTAGTTCCAAGGTAGTAGATGAAGACATTGTAATGCACAGGTTATAAACGCCTAAAGCCCACTTAAATGGTTTATTTGGAAATAGCAATCATTCATGAAATAACATTTATAATTCAAAATGATATCACTCTCTGGACATAAAAAGCTTATTATCATATGAGAATACTGATGAAATACATTGTATTTATTTTAAGTACTATTTTTGTAGTTCATTTTGTAAGTTTTTCTTCAAAACCTTCACCTAGTTAAGAATTAAATGACTTAGCTATCATGATACAATGCATTCCATAATAAGAATGAGAACTAATTATTGCAGAACATGTAAAATAAATCAGAATGCTATAGTTTCAAGATATAAATACTCCTTAAAACATGTTCGTTTTAAAATTAATGCACACAGACTTCACTGGACTATACTTTCACAGCATCCCAGTTATGTACTGGCAGGAAACAAAACACATACAGACCAGGTAGAACGTTCTGATTTATCTGGCCAAAGATGTAGAACTTAGCAGAAGTTAGATAATTCTAGCACTGGAGGGCAGGCAGCATATCTTGTCTTAGCCATTCTCTGGCTCTGGTATTTCCTTTATGCCTGTCCCAGTGGGAAACAGCTGACCTCTCCATGTGGGAAGTCTCTCCACAGCTGAATTAACAGACAATTCTTGCTATATTACTGACCTTTTGAAGAAATTCTACGTACTTTTGCTCATGGGAATGTTTAAAAGTATTAGTTACTCCTGGTTCTTGAGCAAAACTCAACATCACAGTTATATTCTCAATTGAAAGAGAGAAAGGACTAGATGTCTCCAGCAATATCTCTGCCCCTAGATCTCCAGGACTCTGGAAAGTTCATTTACCGGCCATATACAAGTTTTCTAGTTTGATAATGTTGTTCTGGGGTGGCCCTGCTACTTACCTTGATCCAAGATCTACGGACCAATTCACACTTAAGCATCGGTCACAATAAAGTGAAAGTTTATGAGTTTGTGTCTTATTTGTTGTGTGGTCTTTTAATGATATACTACAATGTTGTCTGGTTTCTGCATGTTACTACTAAATGTTCATATCAGTGAAATACTGCTTTCATTATACACATATTCACCTATATCCATAATTAAATTATATTCTGTGAAACAATTTTTGAAAATAGGACTCTAAAAATATGTAGATGTGTATCTTTATATATGTGTGTGTGTATATATATTTTTAATAGCAGATATATTCCTATAGTTTGCATATGAATGAATTCTAGTTACTCTAAGGTCTAAATTTGTATTAATTTCAATTATTTAATCATTGATGATGCTACTGCTATGATTAAATAAGGGAGATTAGTAATGTGGATACCTAGCAATCCATTTGCACATTATCAAGTGGCTTGTTTTTTTTTCCTATGAATACACGTTAGTAGTTGTGAATATTAATAAATTATGAACTTTTCTTAAGTATAATGATTCCACTTTTTAAATTTGATGTTTATTTTTAAACATAAAGAAAAGAAAATGAAACCCTACAAATGCAGTGACATTTTTAAGAAACTAGTGAGACACTGAGGGGCAGGGACTCTAACTTGTCCATATCTACACTGCTTGCACGTGGCACAGAGCCTGTCACCCAGAAAAAGTTCTCAGTTTGTTTTTGCTAGATTAATCAATAAACTCATAATATTTTAATTATGTTATTTACTTTTATGGAAGTTGGAAATCTGCATAGGAGCCCAAGAATATGCTAAAGAAGGTGACTGACATTCCCCATGTCTTTTATGAAAAAGCAATTATAGCATTTCATTAGTTAGATAAGAATATGTTGTTTAGATTTTGAGTCTAGTAAGAGAAGACAGAGCAGAAAGTCATGCAGCTTAGAGGCACTCCTGATCTACCAACACACATATAAACCAAGAGACCACTGCAGTGTTTTTCAGTAAAGTATAAAGGAGAGAAAGATAGTTTGTTTTACAAATTTCACTATAAATTCCATCTCTAAATTAAATTTTCATTAAATAATTTAATTCTGTTAAATAACCCATTTTTGAATCATAATCTGCATTAAACATCAAATGCATACTGACTGATTCTTAGTATTTGGTAACCAGGAAAAAAATCCCCAAATCATTTTTAATTATTAATTTTTAACCCAAAAGATGATTTACAATTTCTTTTGGACTAATACACAGAATACATCCAGACTCCCTTTTAGGAACTTTTAAATCATGTTAAACAGCAAGAAAATATATGAAGATGTGAGGCAAGAGAAATAAAGCAAAACAAAAATGAATTCAAAACTATAAACTTATACAAAAGATGCTTCTTCAAGAGCAATGATAAATTTCCAGAAATTCTATCATTTTAGGGGGCTTTTAAGCAAGAGAGGACTAAAAGACTAGAAGAAAACGCCATGGCTGCTTCTGCCAAAATCTGTTGGGCCAACATTTTAAGGCTTGGGTTGGCTTATTAATCTATTATACCATGCTTAATGCCCATACTTTTTTGTTTTGTTTTTGTTTTTTTGAGAGAGAGAATGAACGGGGGGGAGGGGGCAGGGAGAGAGAGAGAGAATCTCAAGCAGGCTCCATGCTCTGTGAGGAGCCCTGAGGTAGAGCTTGATCTCAAGGCCCAGAGATCATGACCTGAGCTGAAATCAAGAGTCAGACACTTAACCGACTGTGCCACTCAGGTGGTCCTTAAAGTCCATACAACACGTATCAACCACTTACTACTGGCAAGGATAAATAAAAGAATATACAAATCAAATTGTTTATTCAATGTGTCGGAAAATAAACATGAAGAAAATGAAATAAAAAGCAATTACTTAGAGAATGCCTAACAATAAACTTTGCATGTTGTCTATATCACTTCTAGATACAGAAAGTCACGCATGCAGTATTTCATTGCTCTGTAGATACACTACAAGGGATTTTTAAATTTTATTTAAAATATTTTCAGGCATATTTATTTCATATTCAGAATTAAGACATCACATCATTTATATTTGGTGCCTTAATGGCACTAACTTGTCCAATGAAAAAATCCCTTTCCTTTTTATACCATTACTGCATTTTGAATAAATCCTTTCATTGGTTATCAAGGCTTTTCAATTTTCTCTTTAATGCCATTTATGTGATGCAAATGAGTTTTTCTCTGCTGCATCTGCTGTAGTTTTTTCCACATCATGTTTACGTCATACAACATGATTGACTATGTTAAATAATTTTGGGGAAAATGCCAATATTGAAGTGATGGTTCCATGACAATAAAAGAAGGTTTTGTAGTTAAACAAAGAAGAGATTCTCAAAGAAAATTGAGAGCTGACACCTTTTGTAAGAATGAACAGAACCAACAAGACTGAACTTCTCATTCCACAAAACTATGGTCATCAAAATAATTAGAGGAGTTTGCATTCATCTTAGCCATCATTCTTATTTTCTTTCACTTGATACCAGTCTGTGGGGTGAAGGCACCTATTCAATCATACATATTTTTAACCAGGTGAGGGAACTGCATTCTGTTCAAGTGAATGAAAAGTCAAAAGGTGCCCCAAATGGATAGAGATGGAGATACCAGAAAGAGCAAGGTTTCTGTAAAAGTCAGGTGATGGGACAAGCTAACACCAGAGAGAAGCTGCTGTAGCTGTGTCTGTGAATTTACTGTGAACCTGCCCTAAGTGTGGGCCTGCGGAGATGATTTGACCTCCCCTCTTTTCAATTATTCCGGGAGAGTGAATGCTTCTGCTTGACATACAAGATATAACCTCAGTGACCTAGAGAATGGCCAAATTTTCTGAAATATTTTATGTAAGCAGAAGAGGCCTGCACATAGCTGTCCAGTTACATCATCTCCTTAAAATTTATTTTAGAAAATTAAAAAAAAAGTCCTTCCATTAGTTGGAAAGTAAGAAGATAATTGCACAGAGCCAGCTTCTGTGCCTGCCATTTGCAACAGGTTGATTACTACCCTAATAAACAATACCATCTATCCTTTATAGTTCATTCAAAAAAAAAAATGTGTTTTGCATTTTTAAGATGCTAGCCTTGGAAAAGAAGGTAAATGACATGGTCTTGACCTTCACAAAGAGCTCCTGGAATACCTTTCCCCATGTATAAAAACACATGATGTTCTTTATTAGCAGTAAAGTGATAATTTAAACACCATGATTAAAATATAATGATATTTGAGAGTGCGATAGGGCTAGCCAATTAGTTCCTTGAAGGAAATTAGCAAGTCTTTTACTTCTATATCTTTTTTTTTTATATTAAGCATTCCATAATATTAGAAGAAACTATACAGGTAAGCAATGCTGCTGATTATCCCTTGATTTTACAGACCCAAAATATGTAACTTCACCCCCATACTTACAGCTGCCAAATTTCAGAGGACATGAATGAGCATCCATAGGAAAATCCTCCAAGTGCATTGGACATTCAGCTTGAACCGTAAGCCTAAAAGCAAAAATTTCACTCTTTAAGTAAATTGGTAAGTCAAGATAAATCACTCCTTACTGTTCTCAACAGCATCAGGGATGAGGTAGGATCTTCATTGTAACATTGTATTAGGCTAATTCACATTTAAATGTGTTTGTTCTTTCATATTTAGGTGATCCTTCAGAAGACATTAGCATATACAAAATTGAGCTCAAATAACAATATTTATTTACAAATATACTTAACATTTGGAACTCTGGTTTGTTAAGAAGAGGTTTTTTTTTTATTAAGAAGAAGTTATATACACATTTTTGAAGGGCTTTTTTCACATTAACATTCACTATTAACATTCGAAATCCTAGAGAAAAAAAAAAAACTCTATCATGAAAGAATGCTATTTTTCTCCCTCATGTCATCAGCAACCATATAGGAAAATTGATATAAGAATTCAATACTAGCTCACAGGAACTCCCTCCAAAAATATGTCAACTGTGAATGAATATCACATACTGTATGCAGGTACATGGATTTAAATATAGAAGTAGATATAGATAATGTATAGATGTGCCTCTTAGAAATATCTGGTTGAAACTAGACTATTGACTAAATTATGGACACAAGTTACATATTGTTAAATAAATTTTTTTTCTGTATCTATAAGATCATGTTAAAGAATAATCATAGTAAAAAAAAGATTAATCATAGCAAACTTGTTATAAAGACAGTCGTAATTATTCCATTTCACACACAGGTGAAATGGATAGAAATGGTATTAAATTGAACTTATAGAAGACTCTTATGATGAGCAAAACAAATGTGGCCAAAAATTTAATTATAACTTATATAATTCTAAGGCAGTATGTAAGTAGAACTCCATGCAGTATTTTCCAAAACTGTGTTCTCTGCCAACATTTTGTTTAAAGCCAAAATTTCCATCATTGTCTTAATCCACAGGAATATTCGAAGTGTAAAACCAACAGGGATACTGCATCTGTATTTGTAAGATTCAGAGAGAGAGGCAAAGAATAGCTAGCACTTTTATTTTAGGCAATTTCATTTAGTAATGAGTCCTCAAGAGTTTTTTCTTTAAAGATCAATATTTTATTTTTGCCCCTTCTTAAATAACTTACACAACGGAAACCCACCACCTAACATTTCATATGAAATAATAACACATCAAATGTCTAGAACACATGTCTAATCTATATTTAATGCTGATAGAAGTGACCCATGCTTTAAAGCCTTTATTAAGGATTTAAATTTTAGATTACACATCACTTTATTAGATTTGTGATTGTTTTCTTTCTTATATAAGTAACTTATTTTTAAAAAATTTTTTATTGTTATGTTAATCACCATACATTATATCATTAGTTTTTGATGTAGTGTTCCATGATTCATTGTTTGTGTATAACACCCAATGCTCCATGCAGAACGTGCCCTCCTTAATACCCATCACCCGGCTAACCCATCCTCCCACCCCCTCCCCTCTAGAACCCTGTTTGTTTTTCAGAGTCCATTGTCTCTCATGGTTCGTCTTCCCCTCCGATTTCCCCCCTTCATATATACATATATATATATATATAACTTATTTTAAAAGCTTAATTCATGAGAAGAGTTAAATGGAATAGCTGCTACACTATATAAATATACAGTCAACAACTGTATAGTTAATTTTTAAAAAAGATTTTATTTATTTATTTGAGAGAGAGAGAGAGAGAGAGCATGAGTGGGGGAGAGGCAGAGGGAGAGGGAGAGGCAGACTCCCCACCAAGCTGGGAGCTTGACACTGGGCTCCATCCCAGGACCCCGAGATCATGACCTGAGCCAAAGTCAGATGCCTAACCAACTGAGCCAACCAGGTGCCCTTCTTTAGATAATTTTTTAAAGGTTCAATCATATGAAATTTATGCTACATACTATTTCACTTACGAAATGGCAATTTATATTGTTCAATCTAATATATATGCTTTGGTACTTGTAAACCTTATTAAATAAAAACTACCTCTTTAAAAAAGGTTTTTTTTTCTTTAGATTAACTTTATAAGGAGGATCAAAACATTAAGTAAAACCTTGCTTAAATCACTTAAAATTTTGATGGCATATCTGATGAAATATTAAAAATAAAATTACATGATGGTATAAAGGACATTTTAAATCATGATATTCAAGCTGTACTTAATTAAAATAGTAGCATGAAAAAGAAATAGCCAAAAACAATCAATTTTTAATAGTTACGGCAATGCTTAAGTTTTAACACTAAGATGAGAATCAATCTCATAAACACTATTTTCTTTTTTTTTTTGAGAGAGAGAGAGCGTGTGTGCACAAATTTGCATGAGTTGGGGGGAGGGGCAGAGGGAGAGAGAGAGAGAGAGAGAGAAAATCTTAAGCAGGCTCCACACCCAGCACAAAGCCCAACATGAGGCTGAATCTCGAGGCCCTGAGATCATGACCTGAGCAGAAATCAGGAGTCACATGCTTCACTGACTGAGTCACTCAGGCGCCCCTATTTTATCATATTTTAATATCCAGGGATTTACAAAGCATGCTATGGGTACCTCAATAATCTGTTATAAAAATGTTCAATTTGTGCTAATACTTGACAGCTAGGTTGGCTGGTTGTTTAATACATGGATTTCTCAGTATTTAAATGCAACATATCAAACCTGAAAACGTACCTCATTGTGTACAGCAGAGTCCCATCATCCTGGATTCGAAGAAGCTTATTTGGCATTGTCATATTATGAGCTACTGATTTTTTCCCATTGTGAAAGAAGGTATCAGGAGTCCAGATTTTGCTAGCCATTAAATTGTTAAGTCGAAGAATGTTCATAGGACCTTTAAATTTTAACCGTTCATCTTTCCATTTTTGTCGAAAGAAAACATCAATTGTATATTCCTGAAATATAAAATAGAATTCTTTGGAAAATAATAAATGTTTCAAAGACAAGGTCACTATAAAATTCCAACAAAAATAATAATAAAAATAGCTTAAAAAGAGAGATTACTGAGAGAAGTTTTGAAAGATTATTTATCAATAAAGGTTGTCACTTACAATGAGATTAGCATGTGTTGTTTACACAGTTAGCTACATATTATAAAAAGAAAAGAATAAATCTACTTTATTCTGGCTTCTTTCAATTGAACAAGGTCTTAAACTGCTTTCCTGTATCCTATAACTTACAAGGGAAGCATGCTTGGGAGCAGGGTCTTGGTTATTGTTCTAAGTAGTTTATCTCAAGAAAGAGTAAGCAGGCAGCCTTCTCAGTAGCCAAAAAAAAAAAAGAAGGAAAAAAGAAACAACTATTAAACATACTGTCAAATCTGTATGAGTCATCATCTGCTGTTGCCAAAGTAACTACAAAATATCGTATTTCTTTTTCAATCCTAAAAAATGGTGAGATACCATATTGCTAGCAAGAATGTATTAGGGAATGATAATTTCAATAGAGTTTATTTTATTAAATTAGTTGTAATAAAAATACTTAGACAAGTTAGTATAATACTTAAAATACAAATATTTTGCAAATAAATGCCCTCAGGTTAAAAAGTACTTTCACAGATACTCATACAGACAAGCTAGGGTCCATTCCTGTATTACCACTGTCCAACACTTTAGGGTGGCTTAATCAATCAATATCTCTTTCTCAACTTCCCTTTCTCATTCCCCTGCTCTCTCTCTCTCTCTCTGTCTTAGAAGAGAATGTATACATTTTAGACAAGAGGTACAATTCACAATTGTGATTAATACTGACAATCTATTAGATATTAAAATTTTTGTCAATGTGTGTTTGTGCACTCACATGATAGATCACCAAAATATTCAATTACACACCTGAGAATGGAAATTCAGAAACTTTCCTTTGAGCCCAAAGCCACAGGCATCACATTTGAAATAAACACCGTAGCAAATGGCAATTTCATTCAACTAAAATTATGCATATAAAAAAGGACAAATTAAAAAGGCCGTATACTTATGAAAATATCAAATTATTTGTACAAACTTTAAGTAAACGATTCCAGTGATCTCTCAAAAAGTGAATAGATGAAGAGAATAACTATCAGCCATAAGCCATGACATATGAACAGGAAATAAGCAATGGTTCGGGGCTGTGTCCCTGATCCTTAGGAGACAATTTCATGATTGAATTGACACACTCTCAGTGGTTTAGTCCTATTTTAAAATGTTTAATTCCTTATAGATATAACACAGTTTTTAAAAAACATCTAGATTAGGAGATGAGTCTTTTAAGTTTTTATGAAAGTGTTTCTTTCCAACTATGGTTCCGTCAAATCCAAGCCTAATCTGAATCCATGAGACATTTATTTGTCCAGGAAAATTGAATGCATTTTACAACTTTTGATAAAACATCAAACTCAAATGTTCCATTTCTATAAAATTATGATAGGTTTTATCGGTTTCAGAAGCTGTTGCTAAGGCAATCATTTCCTGCAGACTTACGCCACAGGAGATACGCAAGGTTTATAAACAGGAAGGTTCAGGCGAGATCTTTTGAAAAAGTGTTTTCAGGAACCCTGTTTCTGGGCATCCATGAGTGTCCTGAGTGTGTCTGTCAACCTATCGAGAATGATCTGTGCCTTCTTCTCCCCCATCCACTCCAACCAGGCACTCACGTTGTGTTGTAAGCAATTTGAACAATCTCCACTTCTTACCATTTCTCACCTAAAGCAAGTTTCCTACCTACCTGAGTCAGGAACTACTCACAACCACACTCCCAAGTCCTTCGAACATCCAGAAAATACATAGCCAGATGTCTGTGTATCTGCATTACTCGTAAAGCCTTCTATTACTATAAGATACCATGCTGCAATTGTATGTTTGTTCCTCTGCCTCCAGACAAGCTTGCAAATCTTCACAAAACGCACCACGGCTTTCATTTGTGTATTATCTTAGATAGTTTTCAGACATGTATGAGAGTATAAAGATTATCATAAACATCTTGGAACCACTGCCAGTAGAAATGCCATCACAAATATTACTGAAGCCTTCTCTCTCATTTATTCCTCCTCAATCACATTCCCTTAACTCTCCGGGAAAATAATTACCTTGGATTTGGTGTTTATCATTCCCATACATGTGCTTAAATATTTACCACATAAATACATGTGTTTCTAGATCACATTTTCAACATTTATGTAAATGGTATCACATAGTGTGTATACTTTCCTGACCCTGACTTTTTTAGTTACATTATTACAATTCATTCATGGCAATCTATCTACAACTTTGATTCATCTTCATTGCTACATAGCATTATCTTTTAAGAATATTTCACAATATTCATCCTTTTTCTATGTTCTTGATTTTTTTTTCTACTTCCAATCTGTCACTATAGCAAGCAATAGTGCTATAAGCATTATTATACTACACTTTAGGGCAAAGACCTAAGAGTTACTCTAAACCAGAGCAAACTTTCTCCGTAAGGGGTCAATTAGTAAACACCGTAGGCTTTACAGGTCGTGTGGTATCACAACCACCCAACTTTGCTACTGTAGTGTGAAAGCCTTCACCAATGATACATAAATGAATCAGAGTGGCTGTATTACTACCATAAGTCTTTGTTTATAAAAATTGATAACTGATAGGATTTGGCCCATGGGCCACGGTATGCCATCACTGCTCTAGAGTAAATCTACAAGTGGGATTACCGGAATGTATTATACGTACATCCTCAACATAACAAGATATTTTCAAATTGAAATCCTAGAGGTCTATACACATGAACTCTCTTGTTTCTCTACAACTTGATATAAATAGAATATTTCATTTTAGCCATTATGATTAGTGTGACATGGCTGATATTGCTACCGTTTGGATTTCTCTATTGACTAGTGAAATTTAGCACATTTTCATATATTTATTAAACACTACTTTTTTATGAAGAGTCTGTTTATTTCATGTACTCAGTTTCCTTTTAGGTTGTTCTTTTCTTATTGAGTTATAGAAATTATTTACATTTTTTACACATAAATATTTTATTAAATATACTGCTCAGTAAGAATTATAATAAAGATTATAAAGGTATGCAAATATCATAAATATATCCCTGTACATTTCTTCTAAAGATGTAAAAGTTCTGCTTTTTAACATTTAGGTCATGGAATTATTATGTATTACATGAGATAAAGATTCAATGTTATTTTTTTTTGTTTTCAAATGGAAAAACAACATTCTAGTACCATTTATTGACTGATTCATCCTTCTCCACAGATTTGTAATGGCATTTCTCTCATGAATATAGTGTCCATATAGGTATGGACATGTTTCTGAGATTTCTCTTCTTTTCTGTTGTTTATATATCCCTGCATTAATTCCAAAGTCATGATTACTACAGCTATATAATAAGCATAATTAATAGTATTTTCAGGATTATTCAGTCAAAGACAATTTTTAATTCCCATTATGACTTTTCTTTTTATGTAGGAGATACCGTGAAGTGTTTTTGTATTTCCAAATATGTTGGTTTCCTTAATTATATTTTTGTCATTGATGTTTAATTTTACTAAATTTTAAAAAGAGACTATGTTCTGAAGATACCATTTCCAATTTATTAAAAACATCTTTGGAGATAATAGTAATTCAGTCCATTTACATTTAACGTGATCACTAATATATCAGACATATCCCCAGGCTATATTGTTTTTAGCAGTGACAATTAAAATTATGAAGATAGAAGGGATCACTTGTATAGATGTGTCATGATTAACTTACGAAAATAAAGAAGAAAAAACTCTAGAAAATTAAAAAAAAAAAAATGAACTACTGAAGAACACAAATACACACACACACAGAATAGCAGGAAAGAAAAATACCAAACTAAGAAAAAAGAAAATTTAAGGAGCATGGAGTATTTCAAGTCATCACTTGTGTAATGTCTGTTAACGTCCCATTGGCCAAAGCAAGTCACATGGCTGAATTTAGTGACAAGTATTATAGCAAGTCACCCCACTCTCAGTGGAAGGGCATTATAAAGTTAAATGGAAAAAGATGTGGATATAAAAAGGGGTAAAGAATGGGGGCGATGACTGCAACCTATCACACTAGCCCTCGTAAGAGAAAATTAAAGAGTTTTGTGAATGAATAAAGAGTTTGAGAACATCTGAAACTTTACTTCATCACGTGACTCTAATGAAAGTTACATGGGTCTAACATCAGGGAGACAGGTTGGTTTTAAGTCAGTAAATACAACTGTAATCAACTGTATTGTACCTAAATGAAGAGAGAGACTGCGAGCACAAACAGGATATTCAGCTTAGAGCAGTGGTTTACAAAGTGGGGTATGTACATCCTTTTAGCTGTAAGAAGAAAATATAGAATCTTTATCTTTAAATAGACTTCTCATCTAAATATAAGAAGTAGGTGAAGCTTTGCTAATAGATAATATAGAGAATGATATTGGCGGAGTGCCTGGGTGGCTCAGTCGTTAAGCGTCTGCTTTCGGCTCAGGTCATGATCTCAGGGTCCTGGGATGGAGTCCTGCATCGGGCTCCCTGCTCCGCGGGAAGCCTGCTTCTCCCGCTCCCACTCCCCCTGTTTGTGTTCCCTCTCTCGCTGTGTCTCTCTCTGTCAAATAAATAAATAAGATCTTTAAAAAAAAAAAAAGAATGATATTGGCTCTCTCACTCTGCCCATAAGACAATGCTGCTCATACAGGTAAGCCATTCTATGGGAAGAGAAGACACAACAGGAATGGTCAAGTGATGTCTCCTCCATTTGCTCTCAGTGTTTCATGATTTGGAATCAGGTGAATTTTCAAGTTACAGTATTTAGTTTTGATTAAACTAACTCTAACACAAATAGACAAATGGCTTCAAAAGATCATTGTTCGATGACAGCACGGAATGAAGACAACGCTCATCATTACGCAAGCGCAAGTG